CGACAGAAGGGTCGAGATTGGAAAATTAATGTCAATTAGCGACATGTTATTTTATTAAAAAAAATTTCATCACATGCAATCTTGGAAATTACTTACAGGCATACTTTTTGCGTAAAATACACGTCTTGAAAAGAAATTCTGTTTTCATCTTAAATCTAAATCTCCATTTTCGCAGTAACTGTCAAAATTGATAGATCCCTCCACATCGAACAAAAAATTTCTTTTGGCGCGAAGTTCGTCATTACGGAACAACGGTTTATCAGATTGACTTGGTTCCTTCGACACATTGGCTTTCTCACTAGCGATGTCTCCTCTCACAGTAGAGGATTCCCCGTTGGACGAAGAAGAGCCAACTACAAAAAGAAAATGAAAGTTAACAAAAGAAAGGTTCGCAAATCATATTACATTGTTAAACGACGCACTTATTGGGACAACTATCTATGTCAAAGCGATCTACTGAGCCATTCGCCTTACCTTGTCTGAAACTTTCCAAGTGTTGACGACCAGAAATATCACGCTTTCCCTCACTTGAAATCACGTCATTAACTGTACTTTTCGCCAGTTTCGAAGCGACTTCTTTAGTTACAGTTCCAGTATCGATAGTGTTATTCCTCACCAGCTTACGTTTCTCCACAGTAGATGGCCTTTGGCCCTTCAGGGAAAGCGTTCTTGGTGGTTTAGTCTTTGCATTTTTAGTATTGTCGAGTTTGGTGGCTTTTTTGGAACGTTGTTGCTCCAGAAACTTTAAATGACTCGTTCCTTGCGCGGGTATGTGTAACTGAGAGCTGTCTGTCGAGGAACTAGTGGCAATCTTCCCGTGATCATCCAAAACGGGTTTTACCGGCGAGTCAACCAAATCATGTTGAACTGGTGGTTTTGAGTCCTCTTCTCCCGTAACAGTAGTTTCCGTATTCGGAACAAGATTAACTTGCGCTGCACTCAAAGCTTCCGGTATAGCAGACTTCGCCTCGGATGTAGAGGCACTCATTGTCCTGAGAAGCACATCATCAAGTTTGGGATTCGAAGAAGAAGATTCTCCGGACCCACCAGATCCCGATGTAGATGCGCGCTTCTTGCTCTGTTTCAATGGAGACTTTCGTATAATTGTGAGGGGTGCAGATTTTACACTAGGGGAACAATATTGACCATTAGCAGCAGTATAATACTGTCTACTGAAGAATTATGGTGAATGTCACAAATCTTCCCAATCAGTTGGAGCCATAAGCACCATGAAGTGTTCGATTGGCGGTTGACACTAACGCTTCTCTTTTCACTTGAATAGTACTCCGGCTCCAACTTATGCGGAAGATCTGTGATAGATTCACTAAAAATTTTCTTCAGATGACAGCAAGAAAGCATCAACACTTGGCGAGTGAAACACTACACTGGAAGTGCAACGGGCCACCATTACACGTCATCAGCCCAAAGTGTCTTGGGCACCATTCAAGATGGCGGCCGCAGGAAATTCGAAGAGGCTGTAAGACCCTTCCTTGCAAAATGGTAAAAAATCAGATAGCTTGGTGAGGCAATTTTTTTATGCCAGATCGATTGAGAAGTACGTTTGGAACATTTTAAGCGCTATTTGTTAGAAGAGTGAAAGTTCCCTTTAATTTTTACCAAATATGCGGGTCGAGCGTAACTGTTTAGCTAACCACCAGCGTTCAAAGAAAAAAAGAAGTTCCCTGTTACTTGTAGGAGAGCTACACGGAGCATGTGTTAACCATTGTAACCCTTCCTTTAAAATCAACTTGAGGCCATTCAAGTGTGAACGTATTGCGTACCTATGCTATCTTCCCGTCGGCTTACCTTGTTTGGAACTTTGTTTCCAATAAGTCCTTAAGATTGGGCAGAGTGTTACGCAGGTTGGGTGTCCCCAAACCATTGAACTGTCGAAGCTAAACGGTGACAAAAAAACCAGAGAAAACAAATCAAAAGCATGGCTGATGTTGGTTAATACGGTTCCACACGACCTCTAAATTGAAGAACAGAACACTTCAGGTAAGTGTCGTAAAACGAAACCCAGAGAAATCACATTGACCAATCGGAACATAAGAAATTAGTAGCGACCAAGTCACCATTAGTGTTGGCTTGCATCTGATTGGTTCAGAATGGCGCAGGACATTTCCTGGACCAATCACTGAGCGAACTAACTTTAACCAAAGATACCCCAGATAGCTTTCAACACTCAATTGAAGATTGCTCTAACTAATTAGAAATACTAAAAATTTTTACCTGAGCTATGTTCTTGTTCAAAAGAAAAGTTCCATAGTAAAACTTAATTTTTTCTTTCCCTTTATTATATAACGGAAACCTGAAAAAGGAAAGAAGGAGAGAGTGTTGTCCATAGGGAAACTTTAAGAGGGCATTCTGACAGACAATTTCAGAAATCTTGGATAATCTTCCGAATCTGCCCACACCGAGAAAGAAGGGAAACAATCACAACACTTCAAACTTGATGAGAAATTTGACAGTTGAGTCCCCAACACTTCTCCTTTCCTGAGCGACTGATGGTTTTTCCTAAAATCTAGATGCCTGAAATTCGCTCGCTCGCCCGCCCGCTTCTCCGTCACTGTGTTTTCAACGGCTTAAAGGGTTGAGATTTGAAGGCTAACGACCAAAACATTGCACTACAATCGCTGCGAGGCGAGAGCAAAGGTGCACGTCGACCTATTGCATGAAAGCTTCCAGAATAAGCAAGGAACGTAATATAAATATCTAAGGCAAAGAATATCTACTTCAAAGCACTAATAGACCGTCCATAATACTTGTGTTAGAATGTCCTAAAACAACGCCAAATTAATTCTTTCATCACAAACTAAAAAAGAAAAAACGCTTGCCAAGCAGCCTTATTTTTACTCACTGCCTCTCCTTCTCTGCAACCTTTTCGATCGCAAAATCCATAATGGTGGATCTGGAGCCGCGAGACTGCATGGAATATCTCAAAGGTAGATCCAAGAATTGAGCTATCATACACACCAAGTGACACGTGTAACCAAGGGCAACCGACAAGGTCTCATCGTCCATGGCTGCAATTGGATAGATATCGTTTCAACCATTTAGCAACTAAGAATGACCAGCATCAAATTTCTCCCCACATCACCCCCCCTGAATCAAACATTCAAGTGAAGAGAATAAAGGAAAAGATCACTGACTAAAGAAGCTTTTGATTGTCGAACAAATTCTCCTTGTGAGTGCCTTCGGAAATATATGGAGAACGGTATGGAGAATATACATAATGATGTTAGGGTGTAAAGGGTTAAGATCCGTCGAACCTGCTTGCAGCAGTCAATGGTGATGAGTGACCCTTTACTCTCGTTTGTTGTAAAAACGAATGTCAACCTTGGAGGTTGGGAATTTGAGAGCAGAATGTGTTTCATTGTAATTTTTATTCTCACCTTGGAATTCATCTGATTCACAATTGGGAAGCCGTACACCACTAATTACGAATTCTTTTGAACCTTGTAACTACAGAAAGACAAAAACAGCATCAACTATCAGCTGTAAAACTTAATAGGCTCTTTATATCTGGCAGCGTGGTTATGGAATGAGGAGATAACTTTTTTTAATTCCAACTGCACATAATGTCTATTCCTTACCTCCACAATGGGGTAAATAGTTATTAGCTCAGAGATAAGCTGCCGCCGTCTCATATTCATCTGCGCAGTCACCTTTACGAAAGTTTCCCTGCAAGAAACCAGGAGAGGTCGGTCACACAACTCCTACCGCTATGATGACTCTTTCAGGCTTAGACGACATTTCGTAACCTTTGATGTGGTGGGTTTACTCCACGTAGCGCTCAGACCGACACCACTAAGTAAGTATAATCAAAAGGTTACTCGGGAAAAGACTCAGTAAAGTATTAGAATTTTAACTAAAGGAGTGTGAAATTATTCCCTAATTTTTCCATATACCATGTGCGACAAATAACGTTCATAATCACAGGTTTTATATAGCTTAATTATACAAAAAACTCCAAGCCGGGTAGGTTTTTCGAAACATCGACAACTGTTTTTTCAGGACTATACTCTTTAAAACGACCTCAGCACATGATCACCAATTAATGGCCTTCACAGCTGTTTATCTTTACCATTTGGACTCTATGTCTGCATTACAGGTAAATGAAGGGGGCAGGTACCTTTATCGTATTTACCTTTTTTCTACGTATGCTTGCTTGTGTTCTCTTAAACAAACTTTATTAAAGTCCAGTTTCTCTCTGTCCCTCTTAAGGTTTATTTCTGTAGAATGACAAATTCATGGAGACTTTATACAGAGAACATAACTTACCAAAGTGTGCAATGAATTAGGCAGATCTA